TACAAGGATCCTCAAACTTTCTTACAAGAGAATTTCTTCAGAGAGAGAGAGAGAGGGGGGGGAAGTGAAAATGAGTTCTTTTGAAAAGAAAAAGAACAAACAGAAAAGTTTAAATCCTCAAATTCCATTATTTTCAATTGATGATTACATTTCTGGATTGCATGGATCTTCTTCTCAAAATTCTCAAAAAACCACACTTGCTTCAAAAATTCCAACACATCCTGCACAACCAAAAACTCAAAAACCATCAAACATAAAAAAATCTAGTGATTATTATGAAATAATCCTCGTAAAATTCGGATGAGCTATTATTACTCACACTCCAAATTCTCAAAGAAAAGATCATATTGATTTTTCAAAAATTTCTATTCAAAGAGTTTGGTCTTATGAAGACTGGGAGACCAGCCCATGGAATGAGAAGAAAATGAATTTATCTAAAAATACTTCATTTGAATCTCGTTTCAATTATTTTGATTATATTGATGCATGGTCTAATGTTTTCTTTTTTAGACCTATAACACATTCCTGGTTTATTCTTTTTAATCAGGTTTATTCAAACAATTTTTCAAAATGGTTTNTATTCTTTTTAATCAGGCTTGTTCAAACAATGTTCCAAAATGGTTTCAAACATGGTTCGAATATTTTGGATTTAAAAAAACTATTTTACCTAGTATTACTCTTCAAGGGTTCGAATATTTCAAAAAAGAGACAAAAGCCTTTTTGAAGCCTTAAGAAAATCTTTTATTTCAATTTGCTCATAATCTGAAAGTCTCATGGATTCTTTGTTGGGATTATCAAATAATGCAAAATCCTGGAGAATTCAGTGTCAAAAAGACTTGCCAAAGATTCAAAGTTAAATGGTGGACAAAATTTCATGAAACAAGTTGCTGTCCAAAAGCAGTTGACTAATGGATTCAAGAATAAAGGAATATTGACCTCCCTTCTAAAAAGGAACAAGAAAAAACTGCTGATTTCCTTACTGAAAAATCAAGATTAATTGCTATGATTAGTCAGTGCAAAACTCCAGAAGAACTTTCAGTTATTTCTGAAAAAATTGCTAGCTTAAATCAGAACAATCGTATGATGAATCAGATCATGCCTATGATAACGAAGATGATTGTTACGGGTATGCTATTGATGACCTTATTGATCAAGAAAATTTGATGAATACCAAATGACTACAT